CTGATTGTATAGAGCTGCAAGGTTGTACCAAGAAGGTTGCCGGTTCGCATCCTGGTGAGGACACCTGAGATCTTTCTCCGGCTTCCTCCCACAAGGTCCAAAAACACGTTGAGGTTAAATGGTGATTTTAAATTGTCTGTAGGTGTGAGTGTGCTTGGTTGTCTGTCTCTAAGTGTAGATAGGGTTTCCCCTGCCTACTCCCTGGGTCAGCTGGGATAGGCTCCAGCCCCCTGCGACCCTAGTGAGGATTAAGCGGTGTATAGATAATGGATGGATAATGGATGATTGTATAGATGTCCATGAAGGAAATGACTCTTCTTCTCACTTCATTTGTTTCCAGTTTCCTAATGACTTTATGATCTCAGTTTCTAGTTTCAAGACTTTGAATACAGCATGATGCTCATTCTGTAAACTATAGTCCCTTTTAGAGTAACATAGACAATAAAGCATCTCTAGTCACATGTTGTATCTGATTTCAAAAGACCAACATAGCGATGACCAAACTCCGAACTTGAGGCACTGAAACACTGATAGTCCACAAACAAGTGGGTGACGTGGCTTGATCCGTCTTTTCTATGCACAATAAGCAACAACAAACGGCCTCAATACCTTTAATCTAAGCCTTATCATAATCATAAACATAGCCTCTAACGGTAACCATAACGCTTTACCTTAGCCATAACTGTTTCTTAGTTTGCTAACTTACCAGCTAGTTATTTAGCTAAATTACCAAAAAATAATAATGAAAAGCTATTTTACCTCCTCCAGGACGAACCTACTCCTGTCACAACATGACACATCCAGAGTCACAGTGTTACCAGTTTATTCTTGTCTCTGGTGTGACATCTAGATGAGACAAAACATGACACTGATACATGGTATCCTCTAACATGTCTTCTGTTTTCATACAACTGAACAGCATTTTCATTTGCATTTTAAAAGACCTGTAATTTGAAACAAATGTTGTTTCTCGCTAAAAAGTGAGACTGATGCAGTAGAGAAGCCTTCCAGCTTGAAAGAGCGACAACGTCCATGTGAGGAGGTAGGGGAGGACGATGGAGACATGAGTCAGCGACAGACTTTAACCCGGGGTGTTCTGTGTGGGACCTTTATTCTTAGATTTAAGCTGTGTTTTCACTCCCTGTTTGGTTAGGTTTGGGTTCCAAAAATAATTTCGGTAAATATCATGGTTTGTATTAAAATACGACCCTTTTGCAACATGTTTGAAGCTTCTCCTCCGTATTCTTGGTTACCAGGGTGATGAGTCCCACCCCAGCCAAGATATGGTTGGTTGCTTAACAGGAGCAACAGCAACACAATAAAATAAATGGCAAGGATATACTGATTTAAAACATAGTTGTGATACTGAGAATGCAGTTTAGTTGTAGAGGAACAACATTGTTGGGAGACAGGGCTGCCTCTAGGAGGCCGGTGGGTCTATTACATGCTTTTTTTGTGACATCTAATTTCATGAAACATACTGAAGCCTTAACATGGAGGGACTGAAATGAGTTTGACGTTGTACAATTATGGAGCCACTTTCAGATTTTAAAAAAAATCTCCTGTCTCCTCCTGTCAGATGATTCCAGCGTGCCCCCTTTCCTCCTTGTTACTGTGTTATACCTTCCACATCCTCACATTCATCTAATTTGCAGGGGGCAGATTTGGTATTACATCTAATGTGTATTGCATTTCACTCTCAAGGTGACCACACATGGCACCAGAAAATCTTTAAAGCAATTAGTCCAACTAAAGCGCCTCAATTTGTGAGAGTGAGACGTCCCCCCTGAATCTCTAAATCACTGTGTGATCCAGACAGATCAGATGAGAGTATTCAACCTGAACATTTCATTTATATGCAAAATCAAGACTCAGAGCAAATGTTGGAGGTATTGATCCCAGCCTACAGGGTTACATGTGATTCCTGGAGCATTATAGGAGAACAAATTAGGCATTTCTACTCACCGCAGGTTTGGAATGCCAGTTAAACAGATGGTATGCCTCTAATAGAGACAGCAGGTTGAAAGGCATTGATTCAGAAGTGCATTCAATTCTTTTCTGATTTGCAGTTAAAAACAAGTGCTGCATGTTTCTAGTTCACATGAAGCAGTCCTTTGCCGATCCAGCAGACACATACAATTTGTATGTTCCCTCACAAATTCAGACACACAAACAGCTGGCTGATGAGCTTATTGATCTATAAAGAGCCAGCTGACATGGAGCTAAATGCCTGTGCCAGTAGCAGACATACAAACACACACAGAATTGTATTTCCACTTCACTTTAGAGGGCATTACATTGACTTGCATTCATTTCCTGGAGCATAACCCTCATCATAACCGCTATTTAACCATCCGCTAACCTTCACCTTAAAATGTAAGATTTATCTTAGTGAGACTTGCCTTTTGTCCCCAAATGAGAGGTGGGTCCCCACAATGTGACCACATAAACAGATTAACGTCCTCACAACAAGGATAAGACGATAGTGGTATTGATTGTTCCATCAAACCCTTAAACTGTTCCTTTAAAACAAATGATCAGTAAACAGTAAATATAACAGGCAGATTCTAATTATCAGCACAACTCTTCACTCTGGGATTTGTCGTTATCTCACTTGTTTTCTCTGCTTTTTTGGCATTGAGTGAGGAGTACCAGCAGTGCAGTAATTAGTTTGTGGCAATACGATCAATTGCAACTTGGTTTTGTAATATGGGAATATGCACGACTAAAATCCAATATCAGCTGCCACTATATAACTGTTCGAATGTATTTTACTGTGTTAAAATCCAATTTCAAGACCTTCATTGTGTCAGTGGATATTGTCCTTATATGGTGGTTATTTACAAGTCAAAATGTGTTGAATCAGACTGTAGCAGAGCAACTAGAGACTCCAGACCGCCCAGTTTCCCCCAGCAGCTTCATCTGCACCAGTCTGAGTTTACCATAGATTACATATTGTAGTATCAGTTATCTTCAATAGAAGGAAGAGCTCTGTATCATAACTTTAACAAAAGAGCGGCAGAATCAGATTAGCATTTTCATTGTGTGGTTTGTGATCAAGGTTTGGATCAAAAGTGTTTCATTTCATCAAGTGAGGAATTCTTTAGATTTCCAATAGTGGGAAACAGTATTTTGCACATCCATGGTGTCGTATTCAGCCAGTAAAGAGGCCAGCTGTCTGAAGATGAATATGCTTTGATGAAAAAGTCAAATGCAATTCTTCTTCTATTTGGGATGGACTAAATAGAAAGAGACTTGATCCCAGTTCTGTGTGTGATGTAACATGCTGGGAGGAAAACATAGAGAGATGTATGAGGTTCCAGTTCTCATCCAGAAACCCTCAAAGTTTTGTCGTCTTCTCTCTTTCTTGTTGTTTCCCCTCTGCTCCATTGAACCTTCTTCTTCTTTCAACTAATCTCAGCTCATCAGTCCTCAGCCAACAGTATTTTGACAGCTGTCAGATCATCAGTACAGAGGAGAGGGGCCTAAGTAGCTGGATGCTAAGACAGTCTGTGTGCGTCTGTACATGTGCTATAGAGTCATACAGTCCATATATAACCCATACATTTCTATGAATGGGTGTGAAATGGAAGGCTATTGATTTGGCTGCATTTCGTTCTGCTTTTTCTGAGGTAGCTGCTTTTACACATGGTGCTATCAAATAAATGATGTATAAACTACCATAAATATAAATGTAGACAGAGGGGGAAAACGTTACTGAAAGGGTTAACTGATGAACCTAAATCAAATCAAATGTATTTCTACTGCTAAAGTATGCTATGCCATTAGAAACTAAATGAAATAATGCAGGAGAAGCTTCACTCTTTAATCAAATGAGAAAATGCTCTGGGACCCTCTGAACCTAAAGCAGTTTTGAGGTATTTTTTTTTTGCTCATGCCACATTTTTACTGACTGTGGGCTCATTGTTCACTGCTATATAAAACCCTGCACCTATTTGGAAACAACCATGACTCAAAGGAAAGAAAACTCAGTTTTATGTGCACTATAATGCCATAAATCATGAAAAAAAAGAAGCTGGAATCTCTTTGATTATTTGTTTTACAAAATTTGAGAAAACCCAGGAATCAAAACATATGTTTTTGTAATCGTCCAGAAGTTGTTACCAATATTGAAAAGAAATGGTGACTTCACCAGTCATACATGTTTAACTATTCACATTTGTCCAACGTTTTTTTTTACTCAACAACAACTCGTTGATAGTTCACCATGCTAAATGTATCTTTCAACAACTTTCTCCTCTGTCTACCATTTTTTTTAGCCATGCTGCATTTATTTCATTGACCAAGGATGGTTTCTTCCCCTCTCTTCCTTGTTGTTAGCTCTGTCCACTGTGCTCAGAGTGAACACAGCCTGCAGTTCATCTGAAAAAGTGACTAAAATTTTGTTATGTAACTGTTGCTGCTGCTGAGTCACTCATAGCTTCTCGGTTGTGCTGATACGAATTTTTTGTTTTCTGCAGCATCTTGTGCAAACTTTTTTTTGGAAACCAATTTTATAAATAGAATGAAAGAAGTACATTCTCATTTTGTTACTACTTGTACACATGCAAAGTGCAAGGAAATATAATATCCTGTAAATTAAGATGATTGAAAGAAAGAAATTTTAGGGACAAGAAAAGAATAATCATGTATTACATTCTCCAGTAACTTCAATCTCAGGTGTCAGCGGCCGGGAGGAATACCAGCGAAGAGATAAGAGAGAAAACTGGGAGAATTTATGATTCCTTCATTTCATCCATCCTGTGCCTGCTGACAGCAGATGAGAAAAGACAGAGAGATGGAGACTGAGCCCAGCGGTGAGTCGTACGGTCCAATTCATCTCTCTCTCTTTCTTTCTCTCTCTCTCTCTCCTTACAGTGGCTTGTAGACACTACAGAGGGAGCACAGGAGGACATAAGGGAGGAAGCCGAAGCCTTACGCTGATAAAGAATAGAGGATAACTTAACAGAGGGGAAGACAACTAAAAGGAGATTGTAGTGATGGCTGAGGCACCTCAGCAGCAGCAGCAGCAGCAGCAGCAGCAGGAGGAGGAGGACGAGGAGCAGCAGCAGCAGCAGCAGGAGGAGGAGGACGAGGAGCAGCAGCAGCAGCAGCTGAACACCGAAGACACGACGGAGCCAGATGAAGGGTCGGAGGAGCCAAAGGAAATCGTCCAGACGACCCCGACTAGACCTCTGCTGTCCATGAGGTCCATGAGCAGCGTGGACCCAGACGATGACTCCCCCAACATGATTGCTTACAGAAAAGTAAGAACAAGCCCCAGTTTCTCTTTGTTGTCCTAAAATCTAAAGTTTATGATGCAGAAAGTTTGAGTTTGTAATTGCAGTTGCTGGTGCCAGTGGGCTGTCACTCATTGTCACTTTATCTTTAACAGAAAAACCCCCCAAAAATCTTAGCTGAAATGAGGTGAATTGAGTGAATTTCTTTAGAGGTAAACCTGCTGGGTTGGTGCTGCTTCAGACTCACTGAGACAGAGAAGTCCTGACTTCCTACTTGTGTGTTGAGTGTGCTGCCAGGTAGAAAATCTAGAAAAGTCTTAGCAAATCTACATTTGCTAAGACTTAGAATTGTACACTACATATCTCTCTTTCTACCAAAGTGCTACATGTGTGATTTTACTGTTATCAGTTTACCCCTAAAGCAGGTTTCAGTGTACCTTCAACACTTAGTCAGCATGCTGGTGCTTTTAGGAGCCAGTGTTCTGTTGTTTCACTGTATTCTGAGATATGCAACAACTTCTGACAGCAGAGAGGCCAGTCGTTAATTATTGTGAGTTTTTTTTTTCTGTGTGTAATTACAAGAAAACTAATTGCAATGTCACAAAACTCACCAAAACAAAACGACTATTTTGTGGTGTCTCTTTAATCAGCCTGCCTTTTGTCTTTGATAAATGTTGTTGGAAAGATCAAAGTGAAACTCATACACGGTTTTTCTCACTTAATTGATCCGTGCACTGACTCTCCTTCATTCCCCTAAGGTTCCCAAATTAACTTCAACTGTAGAAAGATTAGGGAAGTGCCTTTAATCGTTCTGCTGTATGAGGAATGCTTAATCACAGGAAAATTCTGTTCAAATGAGTGCTGTATGATTTATTGAGGGCTATTATTTGAATCCATAGCTTCAATTAAAGAACCAATCAAGAAGCACAGTTACTTTAGGGTGGATTATAGAAATTCTGGTTCTTGATAAACCAGACCATAATTGAAGTTAACTCTGATATGATGGTTGCATGTGTCGAGGAAAAGCAGCACAGTGGCAGCACTGCGAGTTGACAAGATGAAGACAGAACACTCACATTTAGAGCTTACTGCTGGGATTTTGTGATTCTGACTAAAGCTAAGACACTGATTTCCACGCTGCTGTGTTACTTTTGTTAAACTCTGTGTTTGTGTTTGTGTGACAACTGGGAGCTTTAGTGTCGGTTGAAATTTGAATCCAAACTGAAATAGAGTTTTAATAAAAAGCTCTTTGCTGATCATCCAAAGGCTCCATTCTTTCAAATTATGACAGTGTATAGTGCTTTTATTTACACAGGGGCAGCCACGTCTACCACTGACAAGAATAAACATTGATATTGCATTCCCCAGACAAGTTTGGATCGAGGAGGCCTTTTCAAGACATTGTACTACCTGGACGATTGAGATGAACCTTCAGAGACAAATTATTTCCCATATTATGGCGATAAAAGACGGACGTAGTCAATGTGACATCACCCATTGGTTCGTGGAGTACCGCTTCGAGTTTAGTATTTTGGGCTTCATCATGTTAGTCTTTTAAAAACCAACCTTGACAAGTTAGAGGAATGGAGTTAATTTCATTTCTTTATCATGTAATCAAATAGAAGAGGCTTGCAATCAAAAAACTGATTTCAGAGAAAACCACAGACACTGCATTTAAAAACATGCTTTAACTGCGACTGAGACTGGCCAATAAGCACGTCAGTGTAGGTCCTGTCAGCCTAACAGCCAGCAAACCTCAGAGTGCAGTGTCTATTGTTTACATCAAATCTGTTTTGTAATTGCAAGAAAAGAAACAAAAGTAATTCTATCGGGGGTGGATCAGATTGACAACTCAAGGACTTTGCAATTTGGTAATTACATTGTTTTAATTCGCAATACTGATTAAAAATGTTCAGAAATTTGAGACACAAACACACACACACACACACACACACACACACACACACACACACACTAAAAGGCTACATCTGTAATGGGAGACATTTTGACATAGTAGTATATACAATATTCGTGAGTTGTTTTATTGGGGCAGTCTCCATCCAATGAGCTCTGTGTTTCTGTTATGTCTCCTCTGACCTACCTTCACTAACCTTTGCTCTCTCGTGTGCTTAATAAAGAGTTTATTTTGCTGTGGTAAAAAATGTACAAAATATTCACCCATCTGAAGCATGTTTTAACATTTCTTGGACAGTATTAGTCATTCAAATCCACTGGGATTTACATGATGAAAATTTTTAAAAAATACGTGAATATGGTACAAAATATACTCACTGGTAGTCTGTTGGGCTTTGAAAATTAGTATCTGTTGAAGGAAGCTGACGGTGTAGTAGGAACCGCACGACACCAACAGCCACTGTTGGCTTTGATAAATGAGTTCCGGATGCACGTTGGAGAGGGGGTGGGGTGGCTGAAGGATTGTAGAGATAAAAAGAAAACCTGGTTGGAGAGAGACTGAAAGACAGAGAGAGAGAGAAGAAGAAGAAAGCAAAAAGAAAAGAACACAGAGGCAGATAGTGTGGAAAAAGTGCAGGCGAAAAAAAGAGAGCAAAACAGCTCAAATAGCAATAAGATATGTGAAGGGTAGGAAGGAGACGTGAAGAAAGTAGGAGTCTTAGAGTTGGAGGGTGCAGCTGAGTAGCAGCTAGATGTTATCACACCTACACACACATCTCACTGTAGACACGCTGTGAACACATGGCTGCTACACACAGTAAAGGTCACTTCAGGTAAAAAGCATGAGATGTGATGTACTATATTACCACTTTCCTGTTTAATAAAAACACTGCGACACTCAAATATATGTTGTATTACTTTGTTGAAGAATCTATTTTTGCTTCGTGTAGCATTTGTCATCATTAAATCACCGTCAAGTTCACTTTAAGAAGCAAAGTCACCCTGAAAAGAAACTCAAAACTGTCAGTCATGCGGGTTGTGACTGTCCATCCATCCATCCATGCATCCATCCATCCATGCATCCATCCATCCATCCATCCATCCATCCATCCATCCATCCATCCATCCATCCATCCATGCATCCATCCAACCATCCATCCATCCATCCATCCATCCATCCATCCATCCACCGGCCAGATGAGATATGCAATCCCTCCAGTGAGTTCTGGGTCTACCCTCCCAGTCAGACATGAAAACCTTCAAAGGAAGGTGCCCAGGAGGCATCCTAATTAGTTGCCTGAACCACCTCAGCTAGCTCTTTTTTAATGGGAAAGAGGAGCGACTTTACTCTGATCTCCCTCCAGATGTCCGAGCTCCTTGGTGTATATCTAAAGCTGAGTTCAGCCACCTTACAGAGTAAACTCATTTCCGCTGCTTGTATCCAAAATTGTGACATGGTTGTGAGCTCTGAGCTCAGTTTTCGCTGTGTATTTGTAAAATAGGTGTAAAAACAAGTGTATAAATAAAGAGACTTTTATTTACACAAAGCATCCACCCAGTTTACCACCTCTGACATACTCAGTGGACAATATGGCAATATGTGGCCATATTTAGAACTGCTGTGATGGAGTAATTCACCTACTGTTGTGCACAAACTATTGATTATACACCCACAACATAGACTTTGAACATGGACCATAGTGATTCTATAAGACAGTGTGAAGTTACTTAACATTGCTAATTTGATGAACTTATGCTATTTTACAGTGTCCACTCAACCTCACAACGGTAAAACACTTGGTTGTAAGCCGGACTACAATATTCGCCATTACACAAGGGGTTGCTTTGTAATGAAATATGTATGCCCTGGACAGCATTCCCGTTAGTCTTTCTGTATGAATCATCAATCATCTGCAAGCATGGAGGGGGGGAAGGAAATGCAAATTGTGCTCCTGATTCACTGTTTCATCATTAAGGCCGTGGAATGCAAAAGTATCAAGCCACCAGACTTTGTGTTTTCAGAAGGTTTATATATATATATATATATTTAAAGGGTTATTCTTTATTAACTCCCAGATTAACACCCAGACTTCAAACTGAGAGAGGGTTCGTTTTAGTGGCTGGAGGGTTAAGAGAAGGCAGAACATTAGAGTTGACATTGGATTGAAGAGTAATTGGGATGAGAAGTAAAACCGCCTTGTGCTAGAATTATGGTGTATGACTTAATTCCCTGTCATCTTTTTCTTCCTCCTTCATTTATGTTTTTATTTTTATTCCACCTTACTCTTTTAGTCCGTTCAGCCTGCTTCTATTGTTTATTATTCTCTTCTATTCTCAATCATTTTTTTCTGTTCTATCTTAATCGATCGAATCCTAATTCCATTCTCTTAAATCCAGTTGTATTGTCTCTTCTGTTCTGTTTGAGAGGAGAGTCATACATCTAAACAACCCGTACATGCAATCAGCTTTTGTGTATGAGGCTTGAATTCTTCTCCCTCATCCCACTACATTATATTCTCAGCATCCAACACACACACACACACACACGCAGAGACAGAAGGCAATATTAAGGTGAGGAAATTCAGTGCTGTTGACAAGAGTGGGGATGTTGACTCACCTTTTCACCAGTGCAAATTCAAACCTGTCAGCCAGCATCTGCTCAGAAACACTGTGGGAGTGTGTGTGTGTGTATGTGTCCGTGATAAGGAGAGAAAGTGGAAAATGGGATCCTGGGTGCATTAGTGTATGCTGCAGTTTGAGTGTGTGTGTGTGTGTTTATACAGCCATGTGTGTATCTCAGCACCTTTTTTCATTATTCTCTTGTTTCCAGTCCGACAATAGCAGCTGTTGAGCTGCAGGGCTGTTTACTTAACAGGCTGTTTATACAGATACCTTTTCCCATATTCCTGTACGTGCCCTGAAAGTGAGCTCGTAGGTTGAAAAGCCACAGCGCTGTTGGATGCAACAGGATTCCACTGTGTAGTTTTGTTCATCATTTTCTGATCTGTCACATGAGCTTAAATTTGGTCAACGAGGATTACAAAATGGTGATGATCATGATTAGTTTTAAGGTTCCATAGGAAAGTAGAGGTATACGCTGTTTATTCACTCCT